TCTTATTACTTAATCACTTAATCCTGTATTTGTCCCAAGTTTTCCCAAGGAATCTTGGCAACTTTTTGAAAGAAATACTTGGGGATCTATATAATTATAGATATAGCTGTATTTTGTCCCTTCTGAAGTGGACACGTGGTTTAAATTTACTGGCATCTCTTCTGTATCAATATAACTCTATGGGAAGGCAGGGTTAGAAGTAGTTTGTCAATCAGGATTTCTGGAAGTATGGAGTCTGCAAGTGAAAATTGACAACGCATCATTTACATGCTTAGAAAATAGTCTAATATTTCATAAAATCTTGGAATGAGAGAAAATATTTAGTAATGAACTGATAGGACCAAAGCCTACTCAAAGCATATTACTTTGCAGGGTAGACTAAACGTAGATTTTTGATGGGTTTTTTTTTTGAGAGCTCTTTAATGAAGTTGCCTGTGAATAATTTTCTAGTGGAGAATTTTAAATGAGTGTGTGCATGTTGAAGGTATGTGAGCTGCCTAGCGGTGATCTTCGAGTGGATTAACATTCTTTAACCAAACAGCTGTCATCAAAAAGCTTTTTCAGTTTGCAAAGTTTTGAAGCCATATGTTCTGTAGATTATGTTGACTCAGGCAATATATTAAGGGAAAAATCTGTAAAATGGTCTTTCTAGAAGAGACTCATCTTAAAGCTTTTTCCTTGAAGTATCTTGATTTGGGAGAAGAGGTGAATCATTTCTTTCAAACTGCTTTCTCTCTTCTTTCTGCTTTGGATTAGTGTTTTGTTGTTGTTTGTTTTAGGTATATGGACCAGGGAGGTTTTGGGAAGGATGTGCTTGTATAACAGCTTTGGAGGCTCTGGCTTTTGACTTCAGCTGAGCCACATTTTCCTGCTAAGGAAGCCTTTAGTAGTTTATGGCTCAGGTGAACTCTCCTTAGCATCGTCACGTTACAGGGCTGAAACTATTGTCTATCATTGGATCTTGCTGAACTGGAGTATGCAAGTGTTGGCATCCTTCATGGAATCCATCCCATTGGTATTGTTTACATTTATATATTCTTTTGCTAGTATTTGAGTGCTAAGATAAAACATTGAAATGTTGTGTAAGAAAATATGGCTATAGCACAACATTCTCTCAGCTTTGTTCAGACATTTAGACAAAAGTTGCTTTTTATTCCTTGCATTATTTATAATCCTTTGCAGACAAGCTTCACGCTTTGGAAAATAGCATTGGTATTGTTGGCTGGGGTTGGTCTTAATATCTTCACTGTGTCACTGTCTCATTCCTGGCTCACACGCTTCCTGCTATTCATGTCTTATTCGTCTTTTGAGAAGTGATGGTAAGATTGTGCAGTGGTTTTGTAATGGGCACAAACGTCCCTTGTAGGCGCAAGGATGAGATCACTAGACTCTCTTGCATTTGTGACTGAAGCAGAATTTGAGCTAAAGTCCGAGAGATTAAATAGATGTATTTGCATGACTCTTAGTGTTTTTAAGTAAAAAATAAACACTTGATCAGGTGTCTTGAAAATGTGTAGTTGAGCACGTAGTAATTTTATAGTAGATTTAGTGTAAAAAGAAGCAAAGTGGCTTTTTTTCTGAAATACACGTGCTTTAGGGTAGATACCAGTGAAATGAGACATGACTGTCTGTATGACGATGCATGTTTTATAGGGTCCTTACTGGTTATAAATTCTGTTTTAGTAGATTAATAGTTGATATGTAAGCTTTGCCTGTTTTTTTGTCTGTGTCCAAGATCGATAGTGCGCTGAGAATGTACAACATGTATTAGCAAATCTCCAGATATGTAAGAAAAAGTTAAAGAAAGAATGTAAAATCAGTGTAGCTTTGTTTCTCCAGACAGCTGTAAGTTATGAACTAGAAAATAAACTTAAAATAAACATAAAATAGCTACAGATGTATCTTTTACGATCTTTTCTGTTAGTTCTGTTAGTGTCTGCTCTGTCCAACTTAGCCTTGAACGCCTCCAGGGAGGGGACATCCACAACTTCTCTGGACAATTTATTCCAGAGTCTTACCACCCTCGTACTGAGGAATTTCTTCCTAAGATCTAATCTAAATCTGTTCTCCTTCAACTTAAACCCATTTCCCCTTGTCCTATCAGTGGACACTCTTGTAAAAAGTCCCTCCTCAGCCTTCCTGTAGGTTCCCTTCAGGCATTGGAAGGCAGCTATTAGGTCCCCCCAAAGTCTTCTTTTTTCACGGCTGAACAATCCCAGCTCCCGCAACCTGTCCTCGTAGCAGAGGTGCTCCAGCCCCTGGATCATCTTTGTGGCCCTCCTCTGAGCACGCTCCAACAGATCTATGTCTCTCTTATGGTGGGGACACCAGAACTGGACGCAGTATTCGAGGTGGGTTCTCACAAGAGCAGAGTAGAAGGGGAGAATCACCTCTCTTGACCTGCTGACCACGCTTCTCTTGATACATCCCAGGACGCGGTTGGCCTTTTGGGCCGCATGAGCGCACTGCCGGCTCATGTTGAGCTTCTCATCTATGAACACCCTCAAATGCTTCTCTTCAGGGCTACTCTCAACCCACTGTGTGCCCAGTTTGTATTTGTGCCTAGGATTGGCCCGACCCAGGTGAAGGACCTTGCATTTTGACTTGTTGAAGCTGTAGTTGTTGGGGTTTATTTGTTTGTGTGTCGTTTTTTTAATAAACGTATTAAAACCTGTGAAAGAAAATACCTTTTTAAGAAACTCTATAGTGATTGAACAGCTTCTTCTTCTCTCAGCCTTATCCAATGTTTGCTTAAAGGCTAATTTACTATTTTCTGTTTCATAAGTGGGTTTGCGTGTGCATCCATATATACTCTGCT